ATAATAATAATAATAATAATAATAACAAATAGCATTTGTATAGTGCATAAACTCACTCTACAGCAAGCCATATGCGCTTTACACTAGGCTATATTATTGTGTTATTACCCCAGCAGAACACTCTGTAACATTCTCAGCTTCCCGGGAAGCATAAACAATGCAAACAGCTAAATTAAGCGCCCTAACACTAACAAACTGACAAGTTCTTTCACTTTCTATAGCTGGGTGCCCATTCCCACCGAGGTGAAGTGAGGAAAATTTGTGTGAAGTGCCTTTTCCAAGGACACAAACGAGTTCAACACAAGTGAAGTCAACGGTATCAATAGGTTTCGAAGCTATAAATAATATAAGGTTTATAACATTTTGAATTAGCTCCATCCATGGGACATAATATTAATATAGTATTATGATATTAGATACCCCTTCTTAAAGTGTAATAACATCATTCGGGTTCCAAGTTTTTAGGTTTACTAAAATCTGATTCTAGCAGTATCTATTTTTGTCGGCTTCCCCAGAGTAAAACGAGATCATAGAAATACGGCCACAGCGTTGGCTCCTTTGCAGATAAAAAACTAGATCTAGCAATCATAAGAATCGATTCCAAACCCAGTGACTTTCTAATGATGGGATTTCTTCCCGTGGTTACCTGGTTGGCTCAGAACAACTTCAGGATTTGGGATTAACTTGATTTTGGAACACTGCAAGGCACCAATTTGAAGAAAAAAATGAACTCTCTAACTTAAAAAAAAAAGATTTTAATGAATAAAGTAATTAGTAACTGTAGGTTTACGTAAAAAGAATCTGAACTTTCCTCCGTATGTAGTACTAATCGCGAGAATCGGTTCCAGAACCGATGGATCCAGCCACTTACGAACACTGTTGCCACATGCCGTGGGAAGAGATTCGAGACGATGGCAAAACTTGCAGTAACGTTAGCTGTCAGGCCGAGCGCCTCCACACAGCGGACTGCATAGCACATGATCTTGAAGGGCAGTCCATTTGGACATAAGTACAGCGTTCTGGAAAGAAACACAAAGGATTAATTAATTTCAAAAAGAGGAAAAAAGAGCCCCAAAACCTATCGGGTAAGGAAATAAACCAGAATTCTCGTAGGAAAAGAGATACAGAAAGGCATTAAAACCCCTACAGTTTCGACAGAGGCATGCATAGCACGTCATGGTCGTGATCGGGCAGTACAGCTGGGCACAGGCACATTGTTCTAGGAAGAAACACAGAAAGATGATTAAAAATAAATAAACCTCTGTGGTTCGTAGCCAGTAGGAGAATTTAAAAAAAAAAAAAAACCCACCAAAAAAATCCTCATGGAAAAAGGGAAAAGAGAGAAAAAGGGAAAAAGGACCCCCCCCCGATCCAAAAAAAACCCCCGACAAAAAACAATATTAAACAAAAACCCAGCTTTGTCATCCTTAAAAGGCTAAGATTTTCGTACCACCCGCCTTCGCATTTTTCCAAGCGGGGCATTAAATAACACCTGACACCAACAAGGTGATCCCCATAGCCACTAAGCTAGTCAAAAATTACCAAACTATAATTAGGCGACAACGCGTCAACGCCTCTGTAGGCGAGCTATCAACAAATTGTGCTGATGTAGGCAAAACACTCCCC